GAGTGAGTGAGTGAGTGAGTGGTGAGATCTTGTGTTGTGTGTGTGAATGAGTGAGTGAGTGAGTGAGTGAGTGAGTGAGTGAGTGAGTGACTAAGTCTCTGGAGACTGCTGGGAGTGTGAGTGTGCAGTGAGTGAGTGAGTGAGTGAGCGAGCGAGCGAGCGAGCGAGCGAGCGAGTGGAGGAGAGGGCGAGGAGGACGGAGGGAAGGAAGGAAGGAAGGAAGGAAGGGCGGATGCGGGCGGGATGGCAGCCAACAAAACTAGAACCCCACACAGAGATGTGGGGAACAAAAACAGATGGCGCAAGCGCTGCACTGCTGCCGCTGTGCACGTTGCGCCGCAAGACTTGCAAGTTGGTCAGGGATAAACAACAAAACAGGAAAGTTCCATTATTGGGATATTACTGATCGATACTGATTGATTCTCCCTGGCGCCAGTCGTACCTTCGTCAAAGGTGTTTGGATGTGTTTGGGGTGGGTGCCACCTCTCCCAGTCATACCGAAAGCTACGACCTCATCGTGCTTTCTGTACCTCCAGCTCCATCCGCTGAACGAGGTCGGACGGGACACCCATCGACCCGCGTGGTTCACCCCGACCCGACGCGGGTCGCCCCCCTTCGATGCTTCGCCTAGACTCAGTTTGAGAGGTCTCAAGGCCTTCGCCCGAGCAACGGGAGTAGATCTCTCTCGAGGATTCGAGGCTTTCCAGCGCAGAGGTATACCTGAGACCGGACCGAGGCATGAGGCGCCGACCGGAGCAGGAACAACTGGCCAAGCCAATTGATTCATGTTCCAGAAGGGATTATGTTGACAATATGTTGACCCTTTTTCCAGATGTTTCAAGGGTTCATCAAGGGAGATGGCATCATGTTTGACACGAAGCTCATGGTCTGGGATCTTTGGAGTCACTCCACTGTACTTTCAGAGTTGGTCGATAGTGCAACCTGGCCACTTCTTCAGTTCCGGCAGGTGTCCGGTTTCAAGCACACTCGCCTGGTGACCTGGTTTCAACACGTTGTAACTTTTAACCCTTGGTTTTGTCCAGCACAAAAGGAGGGCGTGGCAATTCCGAGAACTCCCCAGACTCGGTTTCCTTGCCGCGAGTCGCTCCAGAACAGCGGTCCGCGGTCCTAACCGAACCCGCCCAACAAAACGACCTGCCCAGTGGCTGATGCAGCTCTCGCAACAAAACACCGATGTTCCAATGAGCATCTGCCACAGACTTTTCACTGCCACATCGCTGCCGTACCTGGAGCATCATCATGGTATGATGCAATGCCTCTTCCAAGGATCCTCACGGGCGGGTAGCAACAAAAATGGCAGGTGACATATCCAAATTGTTGCAATGCAAGCGTTGAACCATCGAACCTCGAAAAAGGAACAGCAATGTCAAAGAAATGGACCAGGTGAGCATGTCTAACCTGCTGGGCTCCATTGGCACATGGCAAAGGTTCTTGAGGGGTTCCAACGAGGATTTTCCTTTCAGAGTGAGAGATGCGCTTGTTGAACCACATGATTATAGAAAGATATAGAAAGTCACCAACTATCAGCAGACCGCCTCCAACGCACCAATCCAACGACTGATTTATGGCCAGGGTCAGTTGCTTTCTCCGATGGCATGGTACGTGGTACAGGTCTTACTGGATGTTACAGGGGTCACACGTACCATCCGGACGCACGGACGGCCAGTGACGCGGACGTGAACTTGAGGCATGGCAACGACTTGGCCGGCCAGCAACGGCGTGGCTCCAGTGTTCCCTTCCAGGTTGCAGGAGAATGTATTTGACTGGGGGTTGCGCAGGTTGCAGGCTCCATTCCTTTATCATCCTTCGTCCAATACATGGCGTGAAGTGATTTCAGGATTCTGATATACTTATAATCGCTTAAACAATCCAAATGTCCAAACTGGTAGGCCCAACACCGGCATGCTTAGTTGATCTTAGTTGTTGGTGTGAACAACCCCCCAAGTCAACTCAAACCATCCTCATGTACAAGTCCGAAACTTTCAAACCATCCAGATTGCTCTGGACTGTTCTGATCTGCAAGGACCCGCATAAGCTATTTATATATTAACCCATGCTACGTCACATTCCCACCAAGTCCTCTGCGTGTCAGCAGGGCCGCATGAAACCCATAGGCATCCCCTGCCGCAGGGGAGCCCTCACCATGTGCCAATCGGGCCATTGCCAAGTAGGCACGGCTGTAATCGGTGGCGCGTTCCTAGCAGTGGAGATGGCTTGATTTCAGCTTGATGTGCACGATCCACAAGATCCCACGTGCGTCAACATGATTCAGACCTCAAGAAGTGTTTGCGCCCTTGTTCACTGTTCGGGATCTGAGCAACATCGAGCTATGTTGGAAAGTTACGAACACCAACAAAAAGGAAGAACTTGGGCCTGCTGGCCGAACAGCAAGCACAGCTCAGCGGTGCACAACAGCAGCGTGGCGGCCTTGGGGCGGTACCCAACGCGCCGAACGCGGGCGTCGCTTCGCGGGCGTCGCGCTGCTTCGAGGGATGGGCCGAGACGATCGAGCTGAACACTCCTCACTGCCGAGCCGTAGATCGAAACAGTGCGAATAGCTATGACCAGGGGCAGGGTATGATTGTCCTTCTTGAGTTCCAACTTCCAACTCTTGGAGAACAGCCCTTGCCGCTACCAGTACCAATTCCGAAGCATTGAATGGTAATGCTTCGGAGATCTTCGGAGTAGTTTTGGGGTGTCCATTGTTTGGCAGCTGAGAGATGGCAGCGAGATGGCAGCTGACACATCAGTGTGATTTTATACCACATTCTGTAGACCCCTTCCACTGTTGTGTTCACTGCTGTTTATAAGTCCTATCTGCCATACAGGAGTGCGACAATCCTGGAGTACACCGTGAATCTATGTTGACGTTTGCTGTTGCCTCATCTCAACTCCCACCGACCAGGTTCGGTTCAAGCAATCCTATAAGGCTCCAGTCGTACCTTCGTTTCGTTTCGGTGTTTGGGTGCCGCAGGAGGGTCTCAATACCCAGGATGGCACGACAGGAGCCTCAAGACGCCTCAAGGGGTTCGATGCGTGGGAGTGGCATGAAAGCTATTGCTGGATGGCAGGGCTATACGGGGCTCGGCCTTGCTTCAACGCTGTTGAGATCTTTGGGGGACTGCAGCCTGCGGAGGGGAAAACGTCCGTGTTACAAAGTTCACTGTGCACCTGTGGTTACTGAAATCAGATTTCTTCGGCCGGTGTTGCCGCGCCCTGCTACGTCACTCGCGGGAAGGCATGCGGAACATCAACCGACCAACCTATCACCCAGCACCCCCACACGAAAAGGACTCAACTGCCGTGGAGGAGAAGCACCTGCCGTGGAGCCACTGCTTCTCCCTCTCTCTCTGTGTGTCCATCGGTCTTGTACCAGATCCGTAGGTCCGAAGGTGGTTGAGCGGTGTTCAATCGAAACATCCCCCGTATACTACTCCCAGTGGTTCTGCCGTATTTTTGCAGTTTATATTTTTATCAGAGAAAAGGCTTCTGCAATTTGTATAGAGGGACCAACTGAGGGGCAGTGAGGGGGGATATCCAGGATATCTAAACCACTTTCATGTTGCTTCACTTTGTGTCGCTATATACTGCTTGTGTGGCTCACGGCAAATGGTGGCCCCCCCCTCGTTCTGGTGTCGCTACTCCGCCGGACTGGAGCGGAAGCCAAGCCGCAGAGCAAGGGTGGAAAATGGGCAAGTTGCCATCAGCACCTCGCAGTGACCGGGTGCAGAATCCGTGCGAGAGACCCGGGTGTGCTTGCGAAACACTGGCTTGGGGGTCTGGAACTCGAAGGCGTTCCAACTTCAAGGCGTTCCATTTCTGCTGAAGACTCGCGCTGATCGATGTGCTTAGATGGTCCGGCTTGCGCCGGCACGGCATAATGCCTTGAGCAATTACTGGTAGTACATCATCGTACGTAGCGCATTCTTTCGAGGGTGGACAAAGGTAAAATACCCAACTCAACGGATTCTTCGAGAAATCCGGGATCATGTGCTATACACAGAATCCTGCGCTCAGCTGCGAGGTGGTGTTGGATATCTAGGCACACCAACAGGGCAAAAAAGAACAAAAACAAAGTCTTGGTTTTGCTTCTCTTGCTTAAAGCACCTGTCAAGCTATCGACCATCTTCGCCAAATGGTCCAAATATTTCAATCCCGAGGCATGCTCCCCGGCCACATGTGTGGCACGCGCCAGCAGCAGGAGCTCCACGAGCTGGTTCAGGTCGACATCCGGTTCACCCGCAGTGCGTCGCCGAGACTCAGCTGAACCCATTTGGTATGCCTGACGAAGCTCGTGCGTCAGCATGAAGCTCGTGCGTCAGCCCGCAACACATTCGAGCTGGTCAGCCAAATTGCAGCGTGATGATTGGTCAATCGCTGGTCAAGATTGGTCAGTGTGAAGGTTTGACGGCCTCAAAATTGCAGTTTGTATACGTACCGTGTTTAAAGTCACTTCCGAAGCAAAGGATCTATATATATCCAGTGCAAATGGAGGATCCATGAGATTGGATTCGCTATATTAAGATTCAGCCTTTCACCCAGGTGATCAGCCTTTCAGGATCGAGGGATATCTTGAAAGTGAAAAAGAAACTATTGAGCATGTTGCTGAGCCAGCCACAGGATCGTGTCTAAATATGACAGAACCCAGTTTCGATCAACAAAGAAACAGAACGCTCCCCCCTGAAAGTTCTTCCAACCTCCAATCACAACTCGAATCGCAACAAAGAAACTACCGACCTGGGGGAGCTTAGACGGCCCAATTAAGCCTATATCCCATCTGTACCACAACCCATCGGGTCCCTGTTCAGGTCTCCAACCTCACCATTGGTAGACCAGGTCTACATTTGCGCACTCCACGCTTCACAAAACCCGGTACGATCGTCCCGCACGTTGATCCAACACCTCTCCCGCCCGCCACCCCTCGCCAGCAACCGCCACTGCCAGCAACCGCTTGATCGAACCGCTTGCCAGGCCCGGTCCACTCGCCTGCATGGCTGAGTCTAAGACGTCCATATAGCGTCGGTCCCTGGAAGCGGCCACTGCAGCAGCTCTCAGCTGCTCACGCTTCTCCTCAGCACCTGCCGGACGTTGGGGGGGCAGTTGCTCTGAAATCGTGGGCGGGACATGTCAGGAAATACCCGCAATACTTGTGGATCTTGATGAGGCTAACTTTGTTAACTATAACTACAACACAACCAGGATTGTAAGTACCAACTGGTTTGAGTGCTTGCAAGTTGCGTATGCATGTCAGATCCAAAACTTGCTGAGGCTACATGGTGTACACCGTGTACAAGGCTGTGCTAGCTGTGAATTCTTCGATTGCATTGCTTTGCTTGCAGGAACCTTGATTTGTATGCTGCCGCTGCGCGTATATTGGGATGTGCATCTCACCCGTGATGCTTACGTCCCTCACGCAAAACACCAAGCCGCCGCAGCCGCGCTGATCGACCTTTTCACGTGTTCACGTTTCACAGGGAATCCTCCTGAATGATCCTAAATTGCTTACATAAACAATGAACATCTCTTGCTTTTTGATTCACTGTCCACTTTGGAACGCCCAGTGCGGACCAAAAATGGTCGATGAATGCCGATGATTCTCGACCACCGGGGGGTCTGCCCTTCGGCTTCGATTGGGAGGGCACTGAGATGGGCACCAAGGTGTGTGCAGCAAGTCGTGGCAAGTGGCAAAACACCCCACCTTTGATTGCATGCTCACGACCCGCCAGCACGATCTCTTGCTTGAAGGCAGGGATCTCCTGTGGATGTGTAGCTGTCAGTCTGTATTGGATGACAGGTCGTTGGAGCCTGAAGCACCTTCAATTTCGAGGGTGTCCACCATCCACCATGTAAACACAAGGCATCTTCCCATCACAACAGTTGTGCAATAGGTCCGTTCGGCAGAACGTGAAACGCGCTGAAGCGGGGCGAGACGGGCTTCCCAGGAATGCATTACGCTGCTGGTTCGCCTGAAATGACCCCAGCTTTGACTGGAAAGTATGGAAAAGCTACTGGAAAAGCTGAACCGAAGATTCCATGGCAAGAGTTCTAGGAGTGTTTGGTGTTCCTAGGTGCCTTTGCTGTGCTCATCCTGAACCGGACCTTATTGTTCTAGTCTTGCACCGCGCGACCCTCTGTCCTTGGTCTCTGGAAGAACCACCGCAGAGGATAAAGCCTTCTGCGCCACCTGGTCTGAGTGCCTGTGGCACGCCAGCCGGTGTGTAGCCCAATCCTTCTGCTGGCAACTGATGGAGCAATAGAAGACATCCTCGCAACCTAAGGCGGCAGGGGGAATCAGCTTTTTGTTGCATCTAGAATCCTTACCCGGAACTAAGAAGGGAACAATATGATTTGTAATTGTTTGTATACTTTTCGATGGCTTGTGCTCCATCAGTCAGTTTCCGGGAATCATGGCTGTAGCAAAGTTTAGCAACGCTCTTTCTTCTTCTACTGTCCCTGGAACAATCATGGAAGTGGACAATTATGACCCCTCGGATAACCACTTTCCTCTAAAACCAAATGGTTTTCCACATCCAGATTATTTCAAGGAGTGTATGCCTTCTATATGGTCTGTAATCAGCCCCTGCGACCACATGCTACTAATCACAAGCTTCGAGTTGGCCTTGGAATCAACCTGTGTGTATGTATGTATGTATGTATGTATGTATGTATGTATGTATGTATGT